GTTTATAGACATAATCACATTTTTATTTGTTCAGCTGTGTCAATATGTGATTTTGTTTGGGAAATATGATTGGGTTAAAAAGTTTGGTATATATTAATTATGTCCGTAACACCTTAGGAATACTTGCTCCAAGTTCCAGGTAATAAGTACATGTACAATTTGTATCATGTATTTTTCACTTGTTGAACTTGTGGAAGCACCGTTGGCCCCCGGTTAGGGGTCATCCGGGGAACCTATGCCCAATTTTTTTTTTAAATCAAGGGAGCTAATACCATTTTTTATTAGATTTTGAAGATTTGTCTGGGGGGTATGTTTATTCCGGGGGGTATGTTTATTTGGCAGATGAGACTAACATTATCCTTGCGCAAACGAAGAACATGGCGCACGTAACACCACCCGCATAAGTGTGCCGCCATGTAGAGGCGTGGCATTCCCACGGCGGCAGCCCTGTGATGAAGTGATGTAAAGGTGGCATTCTTTATTAAAACATTGTTGTTTGAGAGCTTTTGTGTTCTTTACATTACTTTATTTTATAACATAAAACTTAAGTAGTTAACTAGAAGAAAACGTAATAGATATAAGTAGCAGATTTGAAGAAAATGATAACTTGGAAGTGTTGCCACTTGAATACTGATGGCGCCACCTGGCTTTTGACTCAGGTGGCAACATGCGCCACCTGGCTGAAAAAAGTATTTCGAGCCCTGCATATACTAGAAGTACATGTATGTGAATGTGTTTGAGTTAGAATTAACAGAGCAGTCCAGGTCCGAAGGTAAACATTATGCATTTGCTTTGCAAATGTTACTTCTCTAGTTATAATCAGTATCATCATTGGTATTACCCTTCTTATTGTCATACAAAATCAACTAAGGCAACTTTTTATAGCATACCAGTATTTCACTCCTTGTCCCTCTGCAAAAATCTCACCCTCAAAATAGCTCTTAACCTCCTCTGGTCTTCATTATCAAATTATTTTTCATGTCTTTTTCCTGCCCTGCTGATAAAGTTTTAACACTGTGGATCTTGTCTACAGCATCAAATCCCACGCATATCTGCTGATTAGCATAGCATCAGATTACCAGCATTAAAATGATTCTTTCTGGAGGTACAAGGCCTTCATGATACAAACTTTAGGGGTGCCAAAGAATGAATCAGAATTTTACAGAATTCATGATCCATTGCTAATACTAGATACATACAAAGTTTACGGAATACATACGACCATTACTACAATGTAGAAACATACAAATTTTACAGAATACATATGATCCATTACGCGGAAACATACGGTCCTTACTAATTTGGTGACTTGCACCACGATCACGTGACATCGGCAGCAAATTCAAGATGGCGGACTATTATAGTGCTGTTCTCCCTACAATATCTTGGTTTCAAATAACTTTAACTTAAAGGCTTATCCTGCCCTGGTAAATCCCAAACTGCACTTATGTGGGCTTCTTTTACAACATACATAGTAGCCTGTATTTTAGACCAAATAGGGCGATGCTGGGAATCGTTGGAACCCGTGATCACGGTGGCAAGTCACCAAATGACCCCAAATTAGTAAGGATCGTATGTTTTCTCGTAATGGATCGTATGTATTCCGTAAAATTTGTATGCTTCTAGTAATGGATCGTATGTATTCCGTAAACTTCGTATGTTTCCTAGTAAGGATCGTATGAATTCCGTAAAATTCTGATGAATTCTTTGGCACCCCTGAACTTGTGACGTCCCTCTGGTTTTCAGACCTGCCTGCGGCACCCTGACTGTGACCCTGCCATACACAACAGGACCAGTGTGTTCCAGCAGATGAGAGAAGCCCTGTCTGCCATGGAGAGAGTTGTTACTGAGGGCAGCTGGCTGCAGGACGACGACAGTCTCATGTCACCTGTCTGTCTCCACAGTGTGGTCAAGCAGTTTGAAGTCAGTAATATCTACTGTATGTTTAAAGTTAAAACTTTTGATCCAACGCCAAAAATTCTCTCACCTAGAGCTTTCGACCAGTCACTCTGGTCTTCCTCAGTAGACTGACCCAGTGAAGCTTGTCACGTGGATTCTTTGAAGTGTGACGTCAACACTGGGTCAAAGGTATCTGGTAGACGATGTCGACCCCCGTCGCAGTTCATTGAAGGGTGATGGGCATCGTCTACCAGGTACCTTTGACCCAGTGTTGACGTCACACTTCAAAGAAGCCACGTGACAAGCTTCACTGGGTCAGTGTTTACAACATACAATCATGTATTTGCCCATGTTCGGCATGTTGATCACCCTCAGAGTGCAAAACAATTTTTTTCCCTAAAGTAGGTGGAAGTTAATGCATGCGCTGATTTCATCCATCAAAATTACTTGCTGTGGCCTAACGATAGTTGTTTATTGCAAATTCATGCCCAAAGGCTAATTGCATACAGACATGGACAAGAAAAATGTGTGGTGATATAAGACTATGGGCTAACATGAGGTTCTACAAATGTATGTGTACGATATACTTATCGAACCTACTATCTCTACTTAAATCTAATAACGTTGGTATACATAAAGGATAAACAGTAGGTATGCAATATATGAGCAGGTAAAAGGAACAAGGGTAACTGCTATTCTAATCTACTAGTATTCTATTCTATTAAACTATTCTTGCCATGCTATTACGGGGTTTGACTTCTTCTCAGGAGGCAGTGGGAGATGAATTGTCCGACTCTTTGAAAAATAAATGGCTTGGGAGACTTTAGCAGTAATATAGTCTTTTGTTGTTTGTTGAGATATGAAAAACTTTGGGAAATATTGGCAAATAACTTTTTTATTTCAAAATATGTCCCTCCCTTGTGTGCTTCAGGATGCTGTAGAGAGAACCAGAGTGACCCTGGTGCAGCCCACAGACAAGGAGAAGTTACAGGACAGTCTGGAGGTGATCATCGACCAGGCCAACGACTTCACTGACTCTGCCTACACCTCACACGAGCACAGGGAGAAGATCCTGGCACTGTGTGACAATGCTCGCATGGAGTTACAAGCCTTACTGCAGGTGGACACAAACAATGTAAGTTGGGCCTGTGTCTGTTTCAACAACTTGAAAGCCTTAAACATGTAAACAAGACTGGCAGTGAAAACATACATTGCCATGGCGACGGTGGTTGCTGTTAAGGTTATTGTTTGCACTGCACTGCCATCATTTCATGATTTTGAGAAAGAATTGGTACCTGTTAAGTCTAGACAGATACAGTGCACTCCTCCCCTGAGTGTATAGTGAACGAGCCCTGGGGTCACAGAACGTAGGGCCATCCAGGGCAGACAGGTCTTCTGGGTCTTCCCAAGGGTTGCCAGGAATTTGGGCATAGATGTGGGTCAGATACATGCGTGTGGACATTCCATTCCTGTGGACAAAATGCCTGTACCATTCCTAGAATTCTTGCAAACTGCACACAATACTGTACCATTAGGCTCCTCCCTGAGACGTCGCCAAAAAAAATAATAAAACTAGAGATTGAAGTTAACATTTGCAAAGCAAATGCATAATGTTTACTTTCGGACATGGTCTGCTCTGTTAATTCTTACTCAAACACATTCACATACATGTACTACTAGTATATGGTGACAGGAGCAGAGCAAACCATGAAATTGCAACATTATGTAACACAACACCCAGTCACCATGGTGACAGACGTCAACAAATCATGTCATTGGTCAGGTCATAGGTCACTGTTTGGAGAAGAAGAATAGGAAGAATCAGAGCAAAAACAATATCTTTTCCTTCCGTAAACATAATGAAGAAAGTCATTGGAATAAATCCGGGTAGGAATGATCAAGCAGTGATGAAGTGTTTGCTGTAAGTGTTGAAAGAATCAGCCCCAGCTACATTTTGTAATATATACATCAGTAAGGCCACATCAATTTGATTTCTTGGTTAACGGATTTTTCTAGAAAAACAATGGAGCGGGCGGGCGAAAAAAAAAATAAAGACAGGCCTAGGCAGTTCCTATTATGGCCCAAAATGGTACAATAGGAGCCATTAAGTCAACACACCAGGCTTGTTCAAAATTTAATTTTGAACTTTTAATAAAACCACTGCATTGAAAGATGGAATAACTGTAACAACTAGGAAGAAAATTGCTGTCTTCAACTGTCTGGGGCAAAACATGAGCATTTTGCAGTTGATTCTGAACCAGAAGACTTTCTTTTTTTGCAATCAGAAAAAATGAAGTGGATGAATCCGTTAACCAAGAAATTAAATTGGTGTGGCCTAAGGACAGGCATGACGCAGGAGTTGGCAGACTGGCCTCTCATTATATTTTAAGGGGCAGCCTGTATCAGTGGCAATTTGCACTGTACAATGTATGTACAAGTCATGTATGACCTTTCAGCCACATGCATGGGACCATCCAGTGTAAATGGGATGTTGAGGCATATTGTGGTGCAGTTCTGTTGACCCTTGCCTTGGTGAAGCTATCGTGCATTCATACATTGTGGCCTGAAGGCTTGTCTTGTTGCTGGCTCTTGTTCTGTTTCTTTAAGTGGGCACACCCCAGTTTATTTGGCGCTTCTATTCAAAGCTGCACACCCTCAAATCTAGCAACCGTCTCTGCCGTGGAATAATTCGGAAGGAGAATAACTGTATATGGGACGAAAGGATATCTCTTTAGCTACAAGACCAGCTGAGTTTGGTTTCTTCAACCTTTTTAAGTTTGGTAAAATCAACAGAAAAAACATTACTTTCTCTCCAAATTAATGCACAAAATTGCGAATTTTCTTGTAGGATAATCCCATAGAAAAAACTTCTGGCAGAAATGACTGATGCTGGCAGAAAGACCCAAACCTTGACTATACCCAAGTAAATTATAAAGAAAATTCTAGTACCGAATTTTTTTTAACCGTCCACAGCGCGAGGGGTTGCAAATCCGCTCCTAGGAAGGCGCAGAGCAAAATCTAGGTCAAAAGGGCGGATTACACTTGGCAAGGATACCAGGAAGTAAGGTTCGGAGCCAAAAGAAATTTTCACCCCAAAATCACCATTTCTTACACTCTTCATGTTTAATGATATTTTGTGGCAGTTTATGAGAAATGTCACCTCAAACTTGGACCCTCAAAACCCTTTCGTCACTTTTTTACCATGGACTACCACGGACCCGGTCGCGCAAGAACTGGGGTGTGCACCGTTAACATTTGTCATTGTTGCTCCTGATTCTTTAGTCTTACCTCTGGTTTTACTGTTGTGTTGTGTTTTATTCTGTATCCTGTTCCATGTTGTGTCCTGTGTTCTTGTCCTGTTTTCATTTTTCTGGGTGTTTGTGTAAGCCGTTCTCCCGCAGAAGACGCCTCCACATGCACCCAGCCTTCCTCCCTCCTGGTCTGTGGAACAGGAAGGCAAGTTTCTCTCACATCTGGGTGCAGACAGCAAACAAATGTTCTCCCCTTAGGCCACACCAAGTAAATTTTATGGATGATGTCCTTTGGAAACCCTATATCTAATGCGAGAGGGCGAAAAAAACAAAACAAGAAGGGCCCTAAAAACAAGATGCCTAGATTAGGAAATATATATACTAAGAGATGACAAATGTTAGGACACAAATTGAATGAGGTGACACAGATTAACAAGCAAGAAGTCTTTTATTCATCATGAAAACAGCAATAAATCAGGTGGAACAGCAGTTGTCATCCTGTCCTGTTTCTTTCATCACATTTTTACAGGCATGCAGAAACAGCATGTGCTCTTTACCCATTTCACGTTACGGGTTTCACGTCAATCTAACGATTTGCGGCACTGTCGTGACTCTTTGGTCATAGTTACAGTAAGCAGAATTTTTTTTCTAGGAACAGGCCAAAATCAATGCGCGCGCGGGTCATCCATAAAATTTACTTGGTGTGACCTTATCTTGAAAGTTCATCTGTGTTGGTAGAAATCATCATGAAGCAAGTTTTAACTGTAATTTCCAACACAAGAAATTGGACTCACCCAAATTTTCGACTGTACAACTCCAGTCTTTGTCAAGGAATGAGCAATCCACCGCTTCCGTGACGTCACGCAGATAACACACGTGACTCCGTGAGCAGTGGATCATAGGTTGCAGAAAGTCTGTGGCGCCCCCCATCTCTGTTGAGGGATGATTGTAATGCCTCTTTAATCCCTCATGCAAAGAAATCCGGTTTTTCCGGTGAGACTTAATGTCCAGGCGATTCTATGTGTATATGTTGTGAGACCTCCAAAGTAGTCGAGCTAGGTCGTTTGTGTTCTAAGAACCTAGCCTTGAGACGGGGGGCGCTGCAGACTTTCTGCAACCTATGATCCACTGCTCACGGAGTCACGTGTGTTATCTGCGTGACGTCACGGAAGCAGTGGATTGCTCATTCCTTGACAAAGACTGGAGTTGTACAGTAAAAAATTTGGGTTAGTCCAATTTATTGTGTTAGATATTACAGTTTAAACTTGCTGCATAATGTTCCCTGAACGTCATATGAGAATAACCCTCTGCCAGGGAGTTGTGCAAAGTTGTTGGCTCTGTGTAAACAAGTCAGTCTATCCTTGGTGCAGTTCAACGTGTTTTCATGCTTTTTTTGTTTTTGTTTTTAACTCAAGCTCACTCTTTTAGTAGCACAGAAATGTAACTTGTTGTAATGTTTCTAACAGGACCAGGGTGGGAAACTGGACACCACAGAGGAACTGGAGACAGCCATCATCAAGACATGCAAGTCTATGAAGGAGCTGAAGAAACAGGTCAGAAGCTTTTTCTATTGATTGATCTCAAGATGTCAGAAGAATTTTTCTAGATAAGGCCACACCAAATTAATTTCTTGGTTAACAGATTTGCAAACAAAACAAAACAAAACAAAAAAATTCAGAATCAACTGCCAAATGCTAATATTTTGCCCTGAACAGTTGAAAACAGTCCTTTTCTTCCTAGTTGTTACAGTTATTCCATCTTTCAATGCAGCAATACTACAGTACCGTTCGCGTTATAGTTAACCGGGTACCCCGGTACTAACGAGTTAGATTTTCGTTAGTATTTGGTTAGATTTTCGTCAGTATTTGCAGGGGTTAAAATACCCGGTCTCGCAGTCTCGCCGCGCAAGTAATTTTTTCTGTGCGAGACTTATTCGGAAAGCCAGGTTGCCCGGGGCGCAAGTTATTTTTACAGCGGCTGGCCTATGGGTTTACGGCCAGCGGCTTCTGAAATAAACTGTCCCGCCTGATAACATCCCGCCTCGGCCTGCCGGCCTGCACGTGAGCAGTCCCTCTACTCAAATAACAGCGTGCACGTAATGATTTAATTCCAATATTTCCCCGATAAATGTGTTCGTCATTCGAATTTTCTTCGGCCGAGCGGCGTGGACCGACTCGCTATCCTGCCGGCTGTGCGCGTGCCCGACCGCTAGTTTTCGGCGGTTCCGCGGAAAAATAATCCATCCCCAGAATAAATGTTACGCATGAAAATAACAACTATACCTTAGCATCCCCATTTTATGAGTTTTTGAGGCCGTAAATGTTTAAAACGGTTGAAATTTGTAAAAAAAAACAGCTCGAAAGACTGAGAAATAATGGCCGACATGGCCGACACATGTTGACAACAAAAGTGGTCAAAGGTCAAGTTAGCATCCAAACGTACAAGATATTGCAATGTACTAAAACGATACTTTAAACGCATATTTTTCGGCAACAACAGAAATAAAAATTCACTCATAATTTTAGAAGGTTAATTTTCAAACATTACTGTGAAATTTTTCAAATTTATTGGTTTCTAGCGTCAGAATGTAATAGTTGTTTCTTAGAATGTGCGGTTGGATGCTGTGAAGGACTTGACATATATTAGAGATTTAATATGATCATGCCTACCAGGCAGTTCGAGTGTCTCCCAAAATTGTTTTTGAGTAGGAGTCTATAGACATAATCACATTTTTATTTGTTCAGCTGTGTCAATATGTGATTTTGTTTGGGATATGATTGGGTTACTAGCTTAGTTAGTTTGGTTTAGTTTTTAATATATATTTAAAGGTTAATGTTGGTAATATAACACCTTTGCTCCAAGTTCCAGGTAGTAAATACATGTACATTTTGTATCATGTATTTTTCACTTGTTGAACTTGTGGAAGCACCGTTGGCCCCCGGTTAGGGGTCATCCGGGGAACCTATGCCCAATTTTTTTCAAAATTAAGGGTGCTAACAGTAGTTGCACTGCTGTGTCAGAACTTACCAGTGAATAAACAAGACAAGTTTGAGTTTATATTTCAATCTTTCTGTCTTTGACTCTTTGATAGAAGTCTTTGTTAAAGAGTTTTCATCTTAATTTAGCCAAGTTGCTCGAGTTACGGCGGCGTAAATGCATTGCCATGGGTTTAGGTCCAGAATCATAAGGTCCGGACCTGAACCTGAACGTGGGTTAAGGTCCGCATCCCTAGTACAAGGTGGATCGGTCATACTGAGAGAGATCTAGGAAGAAGACCCAGGCAGGACGAGGCAGATGATGAAACCAGCAGTTCTTCCGGCTCAGAGTCGGAGATGTGAAGGTAGCATTTTTGAATAAACGATGATGTTTGACAGCTGTTGTGTTTGCTATTGGATAAACAAATCTATTAATTGATAAAAAGAAAGGATAATGGATATTGGGTAGCAGATTTGAAGAATCCAGTGCCTTTGAAATGGGGCAACCTGAAATCCTGATGGGGCAACCTGGCTTTTGACCCAGGTTGCCGCCCGGGCAACCTGGAAAAAAAAAGTATTTTAACCCCTGGTATTTGGTTAGATTTTCGTCAGAAGATCGTTAGAAAATCGTCAGAAATTATTTCTAACGCGTTACCGTTTGCGTTAATGTGATAGGGTCGGATTTCATGTTTGTTTTGCGCGCCGACAAGACAATAGCAATTTGCCACCTCCTGGGGCGTCCGCTAATGTGTTGCGATGTTGCCCCTTGAAAAATACTAGTAACAGTACCAGAGGCAAGTGGACATGTGATTCGTGAAATAACTTTGTGGTTTATCCATGTGTCGACTGTGCTATCTTTTATTGCTATTCTATCGTTATTTCTAGCGGAAAATTACGTTGTGTAATACAATGTATGTCAACAAAGTGTAGCAGTGGGCAGACGACGTCTTGTACATTTTGTACCAGCGGCGGCCTACCGCTCTCACAGGATTCTAGGCCGTCATGGGACGTGACGAAACAAGAAATATCTGCCGTAGAAGAAATATAAATCGGTAATTCATGCCTTAAATTCACGGCGGTTTTTGGCACAAAAGAAAAATTATTATAATTTTTGTAAGGCGCACGGCTTACTAGTACTAGCGGCTTTAATACTCACGGTAAAATGTACCGTCACTCCCGGCGCAAGGACTCGGTTCGCCAACTTTCCACAACCATGATGATATCATACTTAAATAAAGGAATATATAATAGATCTATCATGTTGAAATGATAATTGTAATACATGGTTCTATTTAATAGCGGTAGTTTTGTTTCTTATTTTGAGGGATGAAACACGGGGGAAACTGTCAAAAATCGAGGGAACGCAAACTGAGATCGGCTCACTTTCGGGTGCATAACGCCAAAATTTCTCGACGATTGTATAAAAATGACCACTCATTTGCCGCCTACGGTAGCGTGTACATGGTAGTGCGATCATATCGTGCCAAAGTCAGCGTCAAACGTCAGAAAATCCCCATAAAAATATAGTTGCAAAACACATTTCCCGCGCACTCAGCTCCACTCAGGGCCAGCCGCTGGCATGTGAAGCAGCATGCTCATTATAATATGCAAGTAGCTACGCTCTGATTGGTTCACCTTAGATGACCTGCGCTCTGATTGGCTAGAACGAAGCCCGTTGCATGCTGGGGCGCCCTTCCCCGCGCGAAGTGCAGAGAGCTGGATCTCGAGAAAGCCACACTTACGCTGGTTTCTACCTTATTTCTACGACTAATTAGCAACATCCTAGTGACGAAATGCGTACTCAAAAGAATTTTTGGGAAAAATATATATGCACATGTGGATTTGTGGTGCCTTTGGCATAATTTTGTTGGTCACGTACAACGTAATGTAACACGGAAGTGCACGGAGTCGGAGTCGCGGCACGGCTTTCCGTCCCACTCTAAACAAAACCCCAAGGACATAACAAAACTCCCCAAAACTGGTCAATAATTAGCCATAAAAATGTTTGTGGGCACATGTAAATATGCTGCCTTTTTTCGAGTGTTATAGGAATTATTCGCGATGTTTTTGCACATCCCTAACGTTACCTCACGCCCGCCGCCTATTATGTACGGCGGACCGGGGTATTTATAACGTCTTCAGATCATCTAGGATTGCATATTCGGTGGTAAAATAAGTAAACAAACAGAGAAAAACAGCAAAATAAAGTTGACAAACTATAGAAACGCTTGCAAGGGCAACAGTGGCAAAAGAAAATGTCGATCTAATTGATGCGCCTGTGATCGTTAAATGTTTTAAACTTTATATAGTAAAATGCAGGCTAGATCAACGTTCCTTCCGCTGTTCCAGCGGTGTGTATCGGTGTGTATCCCGCCCCGCATGAGGTAAATTAGTACTCCTCCCACGATTCCTGTGATGTTACCGCGCCTGCATATGAATGGAGAAGTCTAACGAAAAAGAAACGCGTTACTTTCGGAAAAGTAACGGAAAACTTTCGGAAAAGTAACCAGTTAATAACGGAAAACTAACGGAAAAAAACGCGTTAGTAACGGCCGTTAGGGTAACTATAACGCGAATGGTACTGTATCATTAAAAGTTCAAATTCATTGTTTAAATTTTGAACCAGCCTGGTGTGTTGACTTCTTGGCTCCTATACCATTTTGGGCCATAATAGGATGCCTAGGCCTGTTTTTATTTTTTCCGCCCGCCCGCTCCATTATTTTTCTAAAAAAATCCATTAACCAAGACATTAAATTGGTGTGGCCTTAGTGCAGCCTTACAAGTAAGAGACTCAGGAGTGCTCAGTTTCTTTTTTTTTTACCTTTCCAGCTCCAGAACACTGCACTTGACCAAGCATCAGAGATCTTCAAGACCAATGAAGACCATGATATCCTGTCAACCCTGAAGCTGTCAGGAACTCAGGGTGATGCAGACAGGATGGAGGAATACTGTGGAAAATTTGCCGAACATTCAGAACAGCTCATTGAGGTTTGTATGCCTTGTTCATGTGAAGTCAAACTCGCATTCCTCACTGGCCATACATTCCTTTGAAACCGTGTCAGATCACAATTCGCCTGAGCTACATTTATTGTTGTTTGATGAAAAGACGCAAGGTAGCATGTTATTAATGTCAGAGGTCACCGACCTGCTTGTTGGTGCCCCCCTCCCAGCGTATCTCGGCTGAATGCCGACGTGATCCCACCAGAGGCGGTGAAGCTCGCATTAGAACGGACACATGATTTGACCATTACTGCTCTTTAAGTTGCTGCCATGTAAAAATTGGTATTGCATATAAATAAAGAAATATCACCCCGTAATCCATGACCAGGCGAAGTTACATTGAAATCACATTGCGTTCAGACGCAAATCGCGATGCGGGAAAACCGATTCGAAACCACCTCAAGAAGTGCCTTGGGATCGAGGTGCTTTCAATGTGATTTGGAGCGTTCAGATGGAGCCTCTTGAAACCGGCTTCGGGGTAAAGCGCCTTCACTGACTTCATATGAACACGGCCTAAGAATACCCCTGACGTGCATTGAAACTAAATGGAAGTACAATGTATGAAACAATGGTGGCACTTAATTCAAATAAAAACTCATCTTGTGTTGGTAGAATCCATAGTTGTAGAGTTTAAGGTTAGTTCCAACACAAAAAAGAAACTCACCATGAGATCATAACATGTAAAGTGTAGTAACATGTAGTAACACTATAATTCTGGACAGATATTCTAATTCCAGGCTATGGCTACCTCTCACCTTTCAAGCATAGTTTGTCCTGGACAATTGACATTCCATATTGTTACATAGAAGATGACAACAACTATGTACATAACAGTGATAGTTCCCTAGGGATCCAGTTATTTCTGCAGAATTCTGGACAGAATTCTGCACCCGGCGCAGATTTCTGCACAGAAATCTGCGCTGGGTGCAGAAATCTGTGCAGATTTCTGCACAGAAATCTGCTTTTTTAAAACTTTTAAGATTTCCTACAATACTGTCCTACAAAATGTATCATTATACTGATAAGTGGTAGATTTACTCCCCTACAAATGCTACTAGCAGGTTACATGTATTTTGGGCATAACTTGTCAGAAATGCATGTGACTGCAGTCCAAAAAAGTGTGTTGTTTGTAACTCTGCTGATGTGCTGTGTAGGCCTGTAGACTGCTGAGGCACATCGCAGGGAATGACCCACTCTACATCACAGCCTGCCATGCAGACAGCTGCATCAGGAACCTCAGTCCTCAGGTATGGTATTATGTATCATGTCTCTTGTTATACCTCCATGAAAAATGGAGGTACATGTATTGTTTTTGGCGCGCGTGCGTGCGTGCGTGCGTGCGTGTGTGTGTGTGTGTGTGTTTGTGTTTCTGCACATTTGTAATCAGCATAACTTCAGAACCCCTTTATGTGGATTATGATGATATTTGGTATGTTGGTAGGTCATAGGAAGACGAAGGTCAAGGTCAAATATGGGCCTCCTGGTGGCTGACCTTGGTACTGCAGCAGAACTTCTGGATTTTGTATCTTAAGTCCTGAATATGCTATGGTCATAAATTTAACTCGATTATAGTAATTATGATCTTAGTTTTGAATGATACAAATCCCCTCAAAAAACATTAACATGAACTCTACATATTTCATGGAGATTTGTAGTCTCCGAATTCTTGTTAACTCAGTGTGTTACAGTCATTTTCATGTTGTACCAGTTCTTACACGTAGTACGGTACCGGTATATGGAACATTGAGAAGGCAGGCAGATACATGTCATATATATATATATAGTACTGAGTGAGGGACAGTAACAGGGCTTGCTACCTAGCCTGTATCTTCATAGACCAGGGAATTATGTCAGAAAAAGTTGTCCAAAGCCATGAGTTTTGTACCATGCAAAGTTCAAAAAGTAAATATGCTGAAAGAATGTTCAACTATAATATCTGATATTGTTTTCTTGTTATACTTAAACTTTGTATGGTATTATCATATAGCCAGATAGCGTTGACCAATCAGAGGTCCCCATTTGCTATTGGTTATGACACCATAACACACCCAGCGGTCATTAAAATCCCATAAACACCGGAGCTACGCTCACTTGGTGGTTTATTCGGTGGTTATCACACCTGACCAGGGATTATCTCACCATATACATGTACACTGAGGATAAGGAGGGGCATTAATGTTATTATCATATAGCCTATCCTATCGCTATGCTCACTTGGTGGTTTATTCGTTATCACACCTGACCAGGGATTATCTCACTATATACACCTCGGGGCGGGGCATTAACCCTTCATTAATGCTTTTCAGTTGGTGACGGCAGCACAGACCCTTGTGGCAAACCCGGCCTCCAAAATTGCGAGGGAAAACCTGGATGTTTTCTGTGACGCGTGGGAGTCCCAGATCAACGAGATGTCAGTACTGGTCAAAGAAATCAACGACTTCTGCTCAGGCAGGAAGGGAGAGAAGACAGTGTACTTGTCACTTCCCAGGCCAGGGGTAAGTAAGATTCTTTATTGACACAACAAAAAGTAAAGGGTAGTAAAAGGTTGAACTTTATTCCAACACACAACTGTACAGGGATCAAATTTTCAGCGACCACTGTCACCTTCATCAGGATAATTAATGACCAATCACTTCACAACGTGATCTCACGAGAATTACGTCACGTATCGGTAAAATCTCGTGTGAATAAGATCACGTGTTTGTAAACCGTAATTCTCGCAAGATCACGTTGTGAAGTGATTGGTCATTAATTATCCTGATGAAGGCGACAGTGGTCGCTGAAAATTTGATCCCTGTACAATTGTGTGTTGGAATAAAGTTCAACCATTAACTATGATTACTACCAACACAGATGAACTTTTATGATAAAAAGTACAGGGACTTTTGTATGGTCTTCTACAACTCAAGATCTAACAAAGTTACATGCATGTATGGATGACTTACGTACAGAATATATGTATGTGGCAAATTACATACAGAATATATATCAGTGATAACAATAAAGGTTTAACTATTCTCTTAACATATAGTCTCTAAGATTGAAACATTCTTTAATGTATTTTCCTACTTGAACACTGTATTGGTTATCTCCCCCGAGAATGTAGTTGAATTTTTCTATAGGATCTAACGTATTGAAATTGGTTGAACTACTCAGTCAACAATCTATACATGACTTGTATGCTTGATTTTGATCCAGATCTTGATCAATGTTGACATCCACATTAAATCAGTAAAGCCTTGGTCACAACTTGCCGTGCATGCTTTTTGTCCGTACGTTTTTTTTGGGAGGCTATGTCTGCTACGTTTTTCTGAAAACGTAGGGAAGGAGTGGCGTCAACACACGTCACTCACACGGTTGCGCAAGGTGTAAGAGTGTGGTCTTCACGCCACGTCTGGCCGTGAGCGGTTGCGTGCATCGTTCATTGCGCAAGTGGTGAGTTGTACGTTCTTACAACGTACGATCTCTGTGCGATTGCAACTTTACTGTAAGGAGGCCATACTCACACGTGCTTCTTCCGTATGATACGTACGGGGCACGCGCGTCGCCCGTACTCGCACGTACGGGTGGTGAATCCGCAGACCGCACGCAGAAAAAGTTTTACATGCACTTAAAGTTCTACGGCGTGTCTGCGTGCTCCCAAATCTGTAGGATTCCGTACGGAGGTGGTACTCACCACGCACGGATCCGCTACGTTTGCCCACGTTTTTGCACGCAGATGCACGTACGGCGGGTTGTGACCGAGGCATTAGATTGCATTTAGTGACTAATGTTAGTGTTGACACATCTTACTGTAATTTTGCTTCCCATGCCACATCTCAGCTCTATGTGCAGTATTACCCGGTAACTATAATTGCACTGTCACTGTGTCTGTTGGCATGAGACATTTTTTTTTGCTGCCACCACAGTGGTGAGATCATGCATGAGCATTTGCATGACTTTTTACTGCTTTTCTAAGGCCACACCAAGTTAATTTCATGGATGACATCCGCGCGCACATTGATTTTTGCCAGTCCTCAAAAAAAAGAAAAAAAAGATCACGTCCACCAAGGCTCAGGTCTGGCTCTAGGCCTGGGTAGTCCATGGTAGTTGGCGAAAATACGGAGCCGGGCACACAGGCTACCGAAGCTCCACGACTCAAGAACTCAGTGCCGATGTATAAATTCTGCAAAAAGCCAGCATGTGCCGGCTTGTCGTATAATGTTGCTAAGTACTGCTGAAAATTCACAATACTAGAATTGTATTCCTGTGATTTAGTAGCATTTTTATGTTGGCTGAATTTTTTTTATTCGCCCATGCGCACTAGTTTGGGGGTCTTCAGAGGATGTCATCCATTAAATTAAGTGGAAGTGGAACCTTGGAAGTGAGCTGCATGCTATATGAGAACAGTAGGGATGTTCAGTGACATGTACATGCTGTACATACGTGTATAGGAGGTCTCCATTAATTTAACATCTGTATTGTCATATGTAAATATCAGTACTATATTTGCTGGATAAGATAACACACTCTCTAAACTTTTCCAAATCCAAGGTTGTTGCCAAAGTGGGCTAATATGTACTTTATATGAAGTTACTGTCTGGTCAAGCTTTCAGATCCATGTAAAAGAAAAATTGCATGATGATGGGATAAATTATAATGTAGGTGGCAGTGAAGTTGATGATGAAGTTCAAGCTATAGAAACTAGGATACCAACTCCAGATAACATAGAGCATCAAAGGACCTGGTCTCAAATCAGATGAGCACTTTTTTCAAGTTTTTTTTTTGTCATTTGCACTGTAAAGTCCTGATTAAAGTATGCACTTTTTAAACTTTTCAAAATTCCAAAAGTGTCTCAGGCCGTCACCCCAAAGTTGGGGCTCGTTCGTTATTTAGGTTAGACAAAATGTGTCGTGTGCTGATGTTTTTTTTATATCCTGTTGACATGCTGTTTGTTTGTTTGTTTGTTTGTTTGTTCGACAGAAACATGGAACCACCTTGAAGACAATCAAACCAGTAAAGCTGGATGCTGAGGTAGGATACTTTATTCAGTCCATTAGCTGCCGTACACAAATACACGAATACGCAGCTAATCTTAAACCGTAAAAACACAGAACAGGGACATACAAACTACATAAAGGCTAACATCTATAGTATTTACAATTACAACATGGTTAATCAATTAGGATTGATGATATGCAGCATGAGCTCCGAAACCTACACTTACTAACGCATTTAACGCCATCAGGCAAAGTGTTCCATGTTAAGGCAGATCTATACATAAAAGTCCACGGCGCGAGGGGTTGCAAATCCACTCCTAGGAAGGCGCCGAGCGAAATCTAGGTCAAACGGGCGGATTACACTTGGCATGCAAGGGTACCCGGAAGTAAGGTTCGGAGCCAAAAGAAATTTTCACCCCAAAATCACCATTTCTTACACTCTTGAGCCATGTTAATGTTTAATGATATTTCGTGGCAGTTTATGAGAAATGTCACCTCAAACTTGGACCCTCAAAACCCTTTCGTCACTTTTTTGCAACGGACTACCACAGACCCCGGTCGCGGAAGAACTGGGGTGTGCACCGTTAAGTGTGGACAATAAGAATGTGTTTTTCTGACCTAGGAACAAGCCAAGATCGCCAAGCTGGGTCTGGAGATGAAACTGATGACATCTGAGCTGGACGCAGAGACAGAGAAATGGGAGGATCCTGACAATGACATTGTGAAGAAGGCACAGAACATGTCCAGCATGTCTTACTCCATGTACCTTTTCACAAGGTAGGAGAAAAATGAGCTCAAGCCAACAGAAGACCTGTCTATATCTCTGAGTTCTCCTGCTTCTACTTTCCACTGCTTCATGACTGCATAAAGTTTGACTTTGGGTCTCACTGGAAGACAGAAGAAAGATGTCCAGACTATGCATGATGTACAAAATGACTAATAAACTGGTGGACGTCCCAACTACTAAGTACTTAATACCAGCCCAGAAGAGAACAAGAAATAGCCATGCCTTCAAGTACCAGAGTTATCAAACAAGGATTGACGTGTTCAAGAAATTCATTCTTTCCTAGAACTATCGCAGATTGGAACTCACTGTTACCAAGTACAGTAGGGGCATTGTCATTAGATAGCTTTAAACATGGTCTAGAGCTAGAAGTTCAAGGGTTAGGTGTAACAAGTCGATCGGTGTAATGTAGCCAGTTGCCGCCGTCTGCGTGGTCGGTTACGCCGAAAGGCGATTATACTGTACCGGCTATACACTATACAGATACAGACTTACTGGTATCCACCTTTGGTACTGCAAATGCAGCTGCAGTCTTCATTGTCCTGAGATAATAAGCCGTAGCTGATTGGCTACCAATACATTAACAGGTACTGTATTCTAAAGTTTTTATTAGAAAAAAATAGTCACAATGCAACTACGAAGTCTGTTTGCAAATTTTGGTCTGTTTTGTTCCCTGTTTGTGGTGCAGGGGAGAAGGTCCGCTGAAGACGACCCAGGACTTGTTCAGCCAGGCTGAGGTAAGATCTCCTACATTAAGATCTCCTACATTAGCTCAGGCAGAATGGCCACTGTCCTGTTGCCACTAGAGTTACGTGCTGTAAACTGTATATAGAATACAACACGGGGTATTCCGTATCGCCCGAGGTACCAGCCCGACCGTGCGTCGGATCGCCCGACAACCAAAGGCCGGAGGGAGGTCCGATCCGCGGGAGGGCTGGGACCAAGGGTGATGCAGAATACACTGTCTTGTATTTTATTTATGTCATACCTACCCAAGAAAACACGCCTTTCAATGCAAAATGAGTGAAAATTTGGTGTCCCTAAACCAAAAAATGCAACAACGTCAATTCCAACAATGTCAATTCCAACAACGTCAATTCCAACAATGTCAATTCTGTATTCGAATTTTCAAAAGGGGTGCACATGGTTAGGGCAAAACGCGTTCGAATAATCGTTCTATGGAACATTTAGAAGCCCGGGCGTACTGTAAAGTACGGCCTGGTCTGGAACACCAGTATCGAACGTAATCACGGCCCGGGTACATGTATGATATAAAACTTAGTATAAGTAAGTCAGTGTATGCAATGTAAGTGGTACACACAGTGACTATAAACTAACTCTGCTGACGGAGTAGTCTGTAGTGAAATTGGCATGTTAAGTTCTGTTATAGTTTCAGTTTATTGCGATACCCTTTAGCCCGTTAGGGCTAATCTTCCAGGGCTCATTACACATTATTACACATTACACACACAGTACATACACATATGACTACAAATTTACATACATGAGGTCACAGGTCAGACAAGGTACTAATTATAGCTAAAATCATTAAACGAGCATATTATTGGCTAAGTATAAAACTAATATTACCATTACTAAAAAAATTCAATATAACAACTATCATCATAATTAAAACCATTAAGTTGCATACAATTGCTCGATCAATCTCTTCAACCGCCTCTCATCGGATACAGCCTTAACCTCATTTGGTAGTGCATTCCACAGCTTTACACATCTGTAGGTAAACATCTTCTTTCCACTGTTGTTCTTAGGTTTCGCTAATGAACCAGCCTGGCGTGTTGACTTCTGACTAGTTATTGTTCTTGGCATGTCACAATGCAATGAGGGTCCTAAGGCTACACCAATTCAATTTCTTGGTTAACGGATTTTTCTAGAAAAATAATGAAAAAAAAAACCAGGCCTTCTATTATGGCCCAAAATGGTACGATAGGAGCCATGAAGTCAACACACCAGGCTGGTTCAAAATTTAAACAATGAATTTTGAACTTTTAATGATACCACTGCATTGAAAGATGGAATAACAACTAGGACGAATACGAGCATTTTGCAGTTGATTCTGAATTTTTTATTTTTTTTGCAAATCAGAAAAAAATGAAGCGGGCGAATCTGTAAACCAAGAAATTAAATTGGTGTGGCCTAACATGTAAATTTGTTCATGCATGTTTCAAAAAGAGAGAAGAGATCTTGTAAATACAGATGTATAGACGTAACATGTAGTACTTGTTCCACCTACCTTTGTACCTTTGTACCTCAGTTATCTAACCTGGAACATTTGGCCCATGTAGGGCATGAATAAATGAATATGGTGAGATAATCCCTGGTCAGTTGCATTAACCAATGAGGTCGTTGGCAAACTTGACTATTCTGTAATGATTTCCCTTCATTTTGTCATGTGTTTCACAGCACTTTGCTGAAGAGGGAAACAAGCTGTTCAAAACTGTGAAAGATTTCTCAGAAGACGTAAGTATGGTGTCACTTTTTGCTCATTCCTTTCCCAAATGTACATGAGCAGGGAGAAGCACAACTACATCCCCCTGAATTGGGTACAATTTGTCACAGTTCACATATCAAAATATCAACCCTTGTCCTGCAGGACCCATATATAATATATATATAGGTTGCACATACAGTACCATCTATAGTGCCCTGTATATATACGATTTGGGAGTATTTCTCGTGCAACGCATCACACCGCAGGGAAACGCAACGAATGCGGAAGTAAGTACACCACGTCAGGGCAAAAAAAGTCAAGGGTCTACATGTATGACCTGATTAAGACTTCAAATTACTTAAAAATATTGTGAAAATATAGCAATAGTCATTCTCTCATGCATGATGTACAAAATGACTAGTAAACTGGTGGACGTACCAGCTACTAAGTACCTAATATCTGATTCATCTAATACAAATTTAGCTTGCTTCCTTTGTCACCCAGAGTTAACTATTTTTCGAGCATGCGAATCATAAATGGTAAACTGGTCTATGGTCAGTGTAGCACCTCCATGTCACTCACTCACTCCCTGTCCGGTTTATCGTCTGTTGTTCCCCATCTCCCAAGGGTTAGACGTGCTTGCATAATACAACTGGGGCTTGATGGCAGCACGCCACTTGTCCCTGTCCTGTGGGTTGATCTTGTCTAAGTTCAGGTGGTGGAGGTCCTCCCGTATGTTGTCGAACCATTTCCTCCTAGGGCGACCACGGGGGTTTGGACCCTCCACATCCAGTGTGAGGATCCTCTTTGGCCATTTGTCCCTGTCCATTCTCTGGATGTGGCCGTACCATCTCATTGTCCTTTTCTTTATTGATTTAAGAGAGATTTACTAATTCATATCTCTTCTCATTACCAGATCCCAGATGGTGTCCACAAGGCAGAATTGTTGGCTCACCTGGACAAGATCCCAACATTCTGTCAGCAGCTCAACTTCACTTGTAAAAGCCCAACAGTTGGGAAACAAGCCACATTCACCAAGGTGGGTCAGCTGCTGACTGTGCTGTCCACTGGATATCAGGGGAAGTGGCTAAGATGTTGCTCTGACATATCTCTTGAAATTCAGCTGTAGGTGGCTCCAGTTACAATTGAAATTTGGTGACTGACTCATGTCTGCTGGTGACGTAAGATAGTCTCTACCAGACTAATTATAACTACGCTGGCTATGTATAGGAGAAGATTTGCCAGGGGAGTTTGGCCGCCTTGTAGGTTTGACTGGCCGCGCAGTTAGTCTGTGGAAAGTCGGTGCGATGAAAGGCAATAAAACTAATCCGCTCATTTTCTGTACAAAGGGATTAGCTCTTGAGTCGAGATTATCTAAGCCAAAAAACGCTTAACGCGCAGTTGGGCGCACCAGAGGCCACGGGCGGCTTTTCGGTGCAAAGGTCAAATTACGCATGACATCAAAACGTATCCTTGATGATCTCAGTTCTTCAATATCTACATAATTCGGCCAAAAATGTGACATGTTAAGATAGATATGGACAGCATTGTGATGTTCCTTATAGGTTATGGGGTCTCCTTTCATGTCAATTGTCATGTGCTTGGCATATGTACAAGAAAAACTTTCTTCCTAGAGCCTCTTCCATCGTCCATGGAGGTACAGTTGATGAGCAGTCTTGACTTCCCCCTCAGGTTGACAGTGCCATTCAAGAGACAAAGAACCTGATGAACACTGTGGCCAAAGTGGTGACCACTTGCTTTACTGCTGCCACTAAGGTAAGAACCCAGCATGAGGTTGCAGCACACAGTAGTCAAAAGTAGTACGGGCACAATGTAGGTCAGCATATACTTGAGTCAGGCGCAGAGATTCTTGTGTGCACGACAGCGAGGCGGCTACTGTGGTACAGGGTAGAGGAATACGTCAGGTTTGAGACTGTAAAAGTTGAAATTTGACCTTTGTTCGGTTAGCGTAGATTTGCGCCTTGATACTGTCACAGCCTAGTGCTGTCTGCTTGCTGCAGTTCCATGACCTTCCGCATAGCGCTTTAAAAGATTGCGCCACGAGTGAACGAGCCGACAAACTTTAGCCCATTTTCACATATTTTGTACATTATACCTTGAACTCAAACATATTCAAGTTCTGTACCTAACTTTTGCACCCTACTATACTTTTTACCGCGTCGAAGTAGGTCACTTTGGGGTTCTTAACTATAGAAATCCACATAGGCCGGAAACCGTGTTTCTGCTACCATAAGACATGCTTATTTTTCTTGAAACATATATAAAAAGAGACTTTTGATGACACCATAGTGCACGATAGGCAGTTGAGTGTGATTAAATTGGTGTGGCCTTAGATGCTTATTTTGAATAGCACTGTAACAGTATCCAACCTTATTAAGTTATTTACTTGATTCCTGATCTGGTATCATTTTCTGCTCCCCTGTGCTGCACTGGGATGTCTGGTGACAATGTACGGTTTGACTCTTTTTCTAAAACATGTTACTGTATCTATGTACTAATGTCATGTTGCTGAGTTTGACCTACCATATATGCTACACCCAGCTAGTGGACTGTCAAATGTTGTATCTGCATAGATGCTAGTGTAATCTTAATGAGGTTTCTCGCTTGTAGTTATAGCATTAAGATTAGTGACCTACATGTACATGTACATAATGTATTCACACATGAAATGGACATCCAGTATAAGCTGCATTAATGTTGTAATTGGGAGTAAGGCCACTCAGTCTTAATTTTATGGATGACATCCTCTGAAGACTCCCAAACTGGTCCGCACGGGCGAATAAAAAAAAAAATTCCGGCCAAAAATAAAAATGCTACTAAACCACAGGAATACAAAGCTGGTATTGTGAATTGACGGCAGTACATAGCGACATATAAGACAAGCCGGCACATGCTGGCTTTTTTGCATAATTTATGAATCGACACTGTATGTATGTACTGAGGTCTTGAGTCGTGGAGCTTTGATAGCCTGGATGCCCGGCTCCGTATTGTCACTAAGTGACTAACTACCATGGACTACCCAGGCCTAGAGCCAGGCCAGAGCCTGGGAGGACGTAATTTTTATTTTTTTTTGAGAACAGGTGAAAATCAATGCGCGCGCGGATGTCATCCATAAAATTCGGTGTGGCCTAAAAATACTAGTTATAGAATGCTGCAGTTCTCCTGTTTAGATGTAGGGAAACAACAGTAAAACTGTACTACTCCTGCCATGTTTGTTAATATCCCAGTCTGTCTCCCTCTGTACAGTATAACCTGGACACGGGGTCATCACCGGTCAACAGATGGAGAAGTGGTCCTCCTCCACCAATGGATATCAGGACTAGGAGGAACGGAGAGGAGGGGACACCGCCACACACTCAGGTCAGTCAGCTATAGACTCAGGTCAAACAGTTGTCTGTAGACTAATTTTAGCAGGGGTTAGCATTTTAGCAATGGTGGCTGGCATCAGCAACAAGAGTGATGATTCTACTGCCTATATCATTTTTTTTGGCACTTAAGTTGTACGTGTGTGTGTGTTTGTGAGTGTCTGTGAGTGTGTGTGCACGTGTGTGTGTGTCTGTGAGTGTGTGTGTGCACGTATGTGTGTGTGTGAGTGTGTATGTGCGTGAGTGAGTGTGTGTGTGTGCGTGTGTGTGTGTGTGTGTGTGTGTGTGTGTGTGTGTGTGTGTGTGTGTGTGTGTGTGTGTGTGTGTGTGTGTGTGTGTGTGTGTGTGTGACAAATAATGTGTAGCCCAAAACAGTTACCCTTTGATCGATTGCGATCATTTGACAAGTACAGGCTCAAGGAAGCTTTTCACTGATACTCTCGTTTATGTAGCCACCTTTGTTTAACTCACTAGACTTAAAATTTATATATCTTGACAAGAGTCATAGAATTGCCCTGTTACATGTTACATTTTGTTTCAATCTTGCATCTTCATATCTGTCACTATTATTTCTTATTTCAGGAAGTCAAGACTCCTACACATTTCTTCTCATTCTAGATCTGTCTTGATGTAAGACTTTTGTCTTCAAATTCTTTCCTTACTTTTTCTTTGATCCAATATTACTTTAAGTTAGTTCTTACTTACTTCCCCTCTTCATCCCCTCAGGCCACACCAATTTAATTTCTTGGTTAACGGATTTTTCGAGAAAAAGAATGGAGCGGGCGGCCGAAAAAATAAAAATAAAAACAGGCCTAGCCATCCTATTATGGCCTAAAATGGTACGATAGGAGCCATGAAGTCAACACACCAGGCTGGTTCAAAATTTAAACAATGAATTTTGAACGTTTAATGATACCACTGCATTGAAAGATGGAATAACTGAAACAACTAGGAAGAAAAGGACTGTTTTCAACTGTTCAGGGCAAAATATGAGCATTTTGCAGTTGATTCTGAACCAGAATCTTTGTTTTTTTTGCAAATTTGCAAATCAGAAAAAAATGAAGCGGGTGAATCCGTTAACCAAAAAATTAAATTGGTGTGGCCTCAGATCCACCACCTCTTACATTTGTACATGTACCTCAAACATTTTTGACTGACGTATTATAAATGTTTCTCAGTGATTATGCAAGTAAGATTGTGAATTGAATAGATTATACAATGTACCTTTTTTGTCCAGTTATCTATTATATAGTAGTAATCAGTTGTGCAAAGTATATTCTGATTGCATAATAAGCATTTGACTACATGTACTGTGCTTGTATGTCAATCATTAAAAATACATGTACGCTACCTACATGTCTTGATAAAAATCATGACAATCTGTTATCCACATCCAAAGTTTCCAACCAAAACAAGAACTGCAGTTATAAAAAAGCTGCCAGGGAAGCCAAACTCAAACCACTTTTTTACAAGGCCAAGAGTTGGCTACCCTTAGAAAATCATGACTGTCATGAACGCATCCAGAACCTATCTAAACTGGAAGTTCATACGTGTAGGAAGATGCCTCGTCCTTTGTTTTAGAAACACCTACCAATATATTATGCAGATCTACCCGCAACTTCTTGAGTTATGATGTCTGCAAACACACAGACTGACAGACACACACACATACACACACACACACGCACACACACATATATACACACTCACACACACTCACATACACACTCACACACACACACACACACACACACACACACACACACACACACACACACACACACACACACAAAGACACGCACACACCCATACATACACATACACACACACACAAACACACACATGGACAGCATGACAACAGTTTCTCGGTTAAGTTAATGAATAGAACAACTACTGGAAATTATATTCAGACATTTCAGATTGAACCCATGCATTACGCCTGACTGATTGACGATTATGGGCTTATGTTTTGAATTAAATAAGACTTGCTTTAGACAACTTTATGTATAGAAATGAGGACCTGATTTGCATGATCAATGAGAAACCTGTAGAATTCAACAGTTATAAATTTTGACTCTTGAGGTTAACATCATGTTATGAAGGTATGAGGTGGCGGAATTGTGTTTTTGTGTTAATCTTCTTCCTGTCTAACCTTCAATGATGTATCTGTATCATTTTCTTCCCTGAGAAAGCTAAGATGTTTGTGTGTATGTGTGTTCATGCATGTGAGTGAGATCATCTAATGTATACCAAGTGTGTGTGTGTGGGGGGGGGGGTATTGTATATTCTGTTCTTTCCTTCAAATGTTACATGAAATGTTTTCACACTATTCCCTAAACAATTAACTTATATATCAGAATGACACAGTCAATATAAATGGTCAATATAAGTAACAATCTGGTTCCTGTCCTTTTTATTTCTTCTAGGAGACAAGAATGAACAGCCTTCTGAGGAGCAAGGCTGTGCAGCAGCCAATACAAACAATCAATGCTTTTGAGAGGATTTGAGCCACAGCCAATCAAACAGCAGCCTGTGGAGCAACCAACCAATCAGATTGCTTCCTGCAGGATGTTCAGCTTTCAGAGCCTATATAACTGGAACAGTTCATGTTCTAATGACCACAGATAAGTGCTATACTGAACTGTTCAGCATTCAGTCAATGCAATGTCTTCAAGTAAATGGCTTCATTTAAGCTTCGGTCACAACCCGCCGTATACGTGCTTCTGCGTGCTGTCTATGTTCAAAAACGTGGGCAAACGCAGGGCATCCGTGCGTGGTGAGTACCGCCTCCGTACGGAATCCTACGGATTTGGGAGCACGCAGACACGCCGTAGAACTTTAAGTGCATGTAAAACTTTTTCTGCATGTGGTCTATGGATTCACCACCTGTACATGCGACGCGCGTGCCCCGTACGTACCGTACGAAAGACGTGTGAGTACGGCCTCCTTACGGTAAAGTTGCAGTCGCACAGAGATCTGTCGTACGTTGTAAGCACGTACAACTCACCACTTGCGCAACGTACGATGCACGCAACCGCTCACGGCCAGACGTGGCGTGCAGACCACACTCTTACACCTTGCAAAACTGTGCAAGTGACGAGCGAGTGACGTGCGTCAACGCCACTCCATCCCCACGTTTTCAGAAAAAACGTAGCGGACAAAAAGCACGTACGGTGGGTTGTGACCGATGCTTTACACAATATCTGTAGCTGATGCTATGATGGTGTTAGGTTACATTTGCCCCTGCTCCCAAAAATAATAGCAACTTTTTCAATAACAAATATTCCATTGTTACAATCTGTATTGAAATTTGTACACATTTTATCATATATCAATTATTGTTAGTAGCACGCCACAAGAAAAACATGCCACATTGTACCAACACTCGATAAGTTACCATACTGATGTTACCATACAGTTAGCCAAGGAGTAGTGCTGTGTATCAGTTTGCTGGACCAGTTCCAGATTTGTAAAAATGTTTAGGTTCAAGTCCAAAAAATACTGAATATCTGGAACCAGTTCAGGACAATAAAGAAAAATCATGTCACATTCCCCATCTAGAATCTTCATTAGATCAAAAATTTGTACTGTAAAATGAAGCAAACTTTGCCATTGGGCATTGTCATGTGTCTGCCTCCATAAATTAATGGCCACAGTTTCGCCCAGTCATGCCACCCAAACAGCATATCTTGCTTCTAAAGTGTTCGCTACAAAATTTTGCGGTAAAGATGCCCCATATTCCATTGGAAAAGTGCCGTATTTTGTATATGCCCTGAACCTAAACCTCTGGACTTGAATCCAAACCTCAGAACCTGAACATGAGTTTAGGTACACAGCACTACTAAGGAGTTACACATCCTGTGTTTCAAATAGACTCACTGGCTAAATCCTCTGGCAAATTTTTCAGCCAACTTTCATGCCCAGAGTCTACTTTTTTTCATTAGCCATATTTTTATTAAGGAGTCATGCTGTTGTCTATAAACTCTCTACACAGTCAACATTATAAGAACTTAATTTGTGAACTTATGCCACAAAATGATATGACCAAGCTTGGGGTAAATGTAAAATGATTAAAATCACTTGTAAAATTTTTGCAAAATTCCGTTCAGTATTACTTTCATGTATGTCATATTAAGAATCTAAATATTGTATCTTTTTTATCGTAATATACCTGCATTGCACATCATAATGTTGGAAAATCAGACTTTCCATAGTAAATTAAATTTTCACAATGATACATAAAGAAGCCATAAATTTGCTTCTCAAAGCTGATGTTGAATGAAATGACTGCTAATTCTGCCTTGTAAAGTCTATCAAATCATATTTTCATACAAATCGCCTTAAACAATGTTTTACTCCACATATACCTCACTTTATTATATCTATTTATTGATACTAACTATCTTATGCCTTTAGTTACAATATTTTTCCATAGTTACATGTATAAGTATTAGATCAGGGAATGCTGATGAACTATGGCCCTGTTGATGTATTATTCTCTATAACATTGAGCAAGCCTTCACATGTGTAGCTGATATGTCAACCATTCTCTCTGTTCACCATATTAAAGACTTATAATTAAGGGTTAATAACCCGCCCCGAGGTGAATATGGTTCTGATTGGTCAACGCCACCTGGCTATATGATAATAAATAGTAAACAGTATCATGGTTAACATAACATATTGCATACACAATTTGAAGGGTCTGACTAAATAGCAAAAGGCACTGGATATACATTACTTACCCTGCGTTACACAATCTGTTATTGTCGTCTATATTGACCCTTTCTGAGGTCTAGAGGCATGTTTTAGTCAGGTTAGAAATAGTGAAATGCATGCAAAACACAGACTTCACATCATTTGATATACTATGATTAGTGAGCCATCAAAACATAGTCATATTCCATAGTCGAGCGTCCCATGATGTATATTTTGCATGTATTTTACTGTATGTACATGTAGGTATTAAGTCAGACTGATTTTTAAGTACTAGTTGCCATGAAAATTTGTTGAACTTGTTCAATGACCAGTTTTACGAGATAATTATGCCAAAGACTTGTCCAGTAGCTTTTTACTTCTTGATGTCTTATCTGACAAGTGAGAAGAAGAGAAAATCTGACATATGGGTTCATATAATTTAAAACATCTAAAAACACCTAGGGAAACATCTAAATTACATTTAACAAGATAAATGTGTGTGCTTGCACCCTTAGGCCACACCAATTTAATTTCTTGGTTAACGGATTCGCCCGCTTAATTTTTTGAAAATTTTTTGAGTTGAAAAAAAAAAAATCAGAATCAACTGCAAAATGCTCATATTTTGGCCTGAACAGTTAAAAACAGTCCTTTTCATCCTTGTTGTTACAGTAAAACTGTTATTCCATCTTTCACTGCAGTGATATCATTAAAAGTTCAAAATTCATTGTTTACCTTTTTAACCAACCTGGTGTGTTGACCTAATGGCTCCTACATCGTACCATTTTGGGCCATAATAGGATGCCTAGGCCTGTTTTTATTTTTTATTATTTTCACCCGTCCGCTCCATTATTTTTCTAAAAAAAATCTGTTAACCAAGAAATTAAATTGGTGTGGCCTTATGACATTTTTTCTGTTGAACATTGCTTCATTAAAAAGTCTTTCAGACTAGATTTTTGTCACAGGGTAATCAAATGATGGCTCATGATGTCACAGCGAATGTTGATTATTGATATAATAAAGTAGTGTTTGCTTCTCAATTTTTTCACTCATGCCAACATGACCTCAGTGACAGTCAGTAGAAGTACCATGTGACAAAAAAACCTTTTTGGAGATTACATAATAATATATTCAATTACAGGAGAATGGTGTTTAGTTGATGAAAATACGAAGGTGTACTATGTTAATTGAATAGTATTATCACTTGTTGAATACATTCATAAAACGTATTTTGCTGTGCTTAATATTTCATGCACATGGCCATAGTTGTAACTGGAATTCATTCCTCTATGTTTTTTATCATTGCTTTGTAATGTTGATTTCACTTTGCACTCTAATGAAAATAAAAGCGAAACTTTGCAGTTTAACATTACTTTGATGTTTGTGCTTTACTATGGAATTAAGTGTTGTTTGCCAGCCACGCAACCGGCCCCTAAAACCTTCTGAAATACAAAGAACGGAGACCTGCACCATATAGCCTTCTGAAAACAACCAATCACATTCTCTGGGATTTCAAAGTAAACATTCTACAAGACAAGAAAAAGGCATGTAAAACGTATAAAACGTCTACTAGTACTATTTACAACGCCGTACGTAAACATATCAAAATACCAAAAACTTCTTCTCCACAAGAAATAAAGTTATTGAATACTCCTTCTCTTCAACTCTACACATAACACAGCTGCTATTGAAGATCGGAATATTCCTCTTCTTCTCCACACATAACACAGCTGCTATTGAAGATCGGAATACTCCTCTTCTTCTCCACACATAACACAGCTGCTATTGAAGATCGGAATACTCCTCTTCTTCTCCACATAACACAGCAGCTATTGAAGATCGGAATACTCCTCTTCTTCTCCACACATAACACAGCAGCTATTAAAGATCGGAATACTCCTCTTCTTCTCCACACATAACACAGCTGCTATTGAATATCGGAATACTCCTCTTCTTCTCCACACATAACACAGCTGCTATTGAAGATCGGAATACTCCTCTTCTTCTCCACACATAACACAGCAGCTATTAAAGATCGAAATACTCCTCTTCTTCTCCACACATAACACAGCTGCTATTGAAGATCGGAATGCTCCTCTTATTCTCCACACATAACACAGCTGCTATTGAAGATCGGAATACTCCTCTTCTTCTTCTCCACACATACATGTAACACAGCTGCTATTGAAGATAGGAATACTCCTCTTCTTCTCCACACATAACACAGCTGCTATTGAAGATCGGAATACTCCTCTTCTTCTCCACACATAACACAGCTGATATTGAAGATCGAAATACTCCTCTTCTTCTCCACACATAACACAGCTGCTATTGAAGATCGGAATACTCCTCTTCTTCTCCACACTGACACAGCTGCTATTGAAGATCGGAATACTCCTCTTCTTCTCCACACATACCACAGCTGCTATTGAAGGAGGGTCTGCATGTCCTTTTTCGTTAACCGTTATGGGCTATTTTAATTCACCGTTAATCGTTGCCGACCCGCTCTAATTAAACGTTAAGCGTTATCGATATATATGTATTCCTCGTGAAGCGTTTTAGGTCCTTATAATAATTCTACGTAGCGCGTTATTTGTCATCCTAAATTCAGCGTTAAGCGTTACTGAATAATTCTTCGTTATGCGTAGACCTGCGTACTAGTAGTCATCCTCAAGAAGCGGTCGTCACTTTGCCTCTCAAAATGCAGGAAAATGCTTTATTGAAGGTTTAAAAATAGAAAATTCCCCGGACCCCCCTACATTGCTCGCGCCTTTGGCGTTCGACTCGCGTCTGCTGCGCTCGGTCCCCCTCTTCAAGCATTTGTGGGCGCACTCGGGGACCAAGGCAGGCGTGGACACACAGAGGACACTAGTGTGAACACACTTCGTTACATACATTTCGTTAGCGATCACTCTTTCTCACCAATTCAGATACCGAATATAGTGGAGTTCGAAAAAATGCGTGTCAATTTACCGTTATTAAAGCGTTTCCAACTGAATTTACCGTTAAGCGTTGTCGGGCCTGCTGAATTTACCGTTAACCCTTAATCTCCAAGCAGATCCCTATCGGTGGCGAAAAGACAGTATCAAATTGGCCAGCCAGTATCCATTAGCCAGAGAAGCTCCATTAGCCACCGACGAACAAAAAAACGGCCAATATATAAAAAGGTAACGATAATTCCCNACACATAACACAGCTGCTATTGAAGATCGGAATACTCCTCTTCTTCTCCACACATAACACAGCTGCTATTGAAGATCGAAATACTCCTCTTCTTCTCTCTCCACACATAACACAGCTGCTATTAAAGATCGGAATACTCCTCTTCTTCTCCACACATAACACAGCTGCTATTGAAGATCGGAATGCTCCTCTTCTTCACACATAACACAGCTGCTATTGAAGATCGAAATACTCCTCTTCTTCTCCCTCCACACATAACACAGCTGCTATTAAAGATTGGAATACTCCTCTTCTTCTCCACACATAACAACGCTGATATTGAAGATCGGAATGCTCCTCTTCTTCTCCACACATAACACAGCTGCTTTTGAAGATCGGAATACTCCTCTTCTTCTCCACACATACCTGATATTGAAGATCGGAATACTCCTCTTCTTCTTCACACATAACACAGCTGCTATTGAAGATCGGAATACTCCTCTTCTTCTTCACACATAACACAGCAGCTATTGAAGATCGGAATACTCCTCTTCTTCTCCACACATAACACAGCTGCTATTGAAGATCGGAATGCTCCTCTTATTCTCCACACATAACACAGCTGCTATTGAAGATCGGAATACTCCTCTTCTTCTCCACACATAACACAGCTGCTATTGAAGATCGGAATACTCCTCTTCTTCTCCACACATAACACAGCTGCTATTGAAGATCGGAATACTCCTCTTCTTCTCCACACATAACACAGCTGCTATTGAAGATCGGAATACTCCTCTTCTTCTCCACACATAACACAGCTGCTATTGAAGATCGGAATACTCCTCTTCTTCTCCACACATGACACAGCTGCTATTGAAGATCGGAATACTCCTCTTCTTCTCCACACATACCACAGCTGCTATTGAAGGAGGGTCTGCATGTCCTTTTTCGTTAACCGTTATGGGCTATTTTAATTCACCGTTAATCGTTGCCGACCCGCTCTAATTAAACGTTAAGCGTTATCGATATATATGTATTCCTCGTGAAGCGTTTTAGGTCCTTATAATAATTCTACGTAGCGCGTTATTTGTTATCCTAAATTCAGCGTTAAGCGTTACTGAATAATTCTTCGTTATGCGTAGACCTGCGTACTAGTAGTCATCCTCAAGAAGCGGTCGTCACTTTGCCTCTCAAAATGCAGGAAAATGCTTTATTGAAGGTTTAAAAATAGAAAATTCCCCGGACCCCCTACATTGCTCGCGCCTTTGGCGTTCGACTCGCGTCTGCTGCGCTCGGTCCCCCTCTTCAAGCATTTGTGGGCGCACTCGGGGACCAAGGCAGGCGTGGACACACAGAGGACACTAGTGTGAACACACTTCGTTACATACATTTCGTTAGCGATCACTCTTTCTCACCAATTCAGATACCGAATATAGTGGAGTTCGAAAAATGCGTGTCAATTTACCGTTATTAAAGCGTTTCCAACTGAATTTACCGTTAAGCGTTGTCGGGCCTGCTGAATTTACCGTTAACCCTTAATCTCCAAGCAGATCCCTATCGGTGGCGAAAAGACAGTATCAAATTGGCCAGCCAGTATCCATTAGCCAGAGAAGCTCCATTAGCCACCGACGAACAAAAAAAACGGCCATATATAAAAAGGTAACGATAATTCCCCACAACCTCTGCTTGGAGAGTAGTTAATCGTTACTATTACACCCCCATGCAGACCCTCGTAGAGCGTTGTCGGGATATGCAGGTCCCCTTCCAGGGAGTTACTAAGGCCATGTTGGTTTGATTATATGGATGACATCCGCGCGCGCTTGAATTTTCGGCCGTTTCAAAAAAAAAAGTTTTTAACCATATCGTGCAAAACAGTTGCTAAATGAGCAAAAATATACCATAAGTTGCAAGGAAAACATTTAGAAACGATACCAATGTCGTAGAATGCCAAAATCAAAGGAAAAAAGACAAAAATGTAAAGGAATGAATTCGAAGAGTAGGTTATTCGCCAAAACATATTCTGTGCCATTTCAACCTTCATGACCACGTAGATTTCATAGTGAAAGCAACTTTTTTTTTTGCAAAACTTTTTTTTTATTCGCACGCGCACATCAGTTTTGGGGTTCCCAGAGGATGTCATCCATATAATCAAATCAACATGGCCTTACTTACTAACGTTACCCTTGAACCCTGGTCTCCGTGGTTGAGGGGTCAGGGGCCATCGCGGGATATTGCGAACTCCACTGTAGGTATAATAATATGACGTTTCTACAAGTTTGCAGGGCGTTACACAAGGTTCGTTGTACTACATACCGGCGGCACATGTTCCCGTGTATGCAGCGGCACGGGTCGAACTTCTATTCTACAGGTATTTTAATGTCTTCGCCTAGAAGGTTATGTTGTCGTTAGCGTGTATCTATGAATGTACTCTATGTGTGTATGTGGTTTAGTGCGATAACTCAAGAAGCTTTGGATGGATTGACTGGATGAGACCTAGAACTGGCTAGATAATGTCTGGTACTGCAGCTGAACTTACGGTTTTGCTATCTTGCGAACTGGTCATGCTATTAAAGGTCACGAATTTTGGATGGTAGAGTGCTCTTGACTTGTAAGTTTGCACAATCAGGAAGAAATGACGTTAGTTTTGACCAGCGTTTGTGCTAGAGTTTATAAGTCTGGGGTATAACACTGGGGTAGAATGCTGCGAAATCACGGCAATGCCTTGCAACCTTTGACTTTAGGCCATGTTGCTTTGATTATATGGATAACATCCTCTGGGAACCCCAAAACTGATGCGAGCGTGCGAATAAAAAAAGTTTTGCAAAGAAAAGTTGCTTTCACTATGAAATCTACGTGGTCATGAAGGTGGAACAAATGGCACAGAATATGTTATGGCGAATAATCTACTCTTCGAATTCATTTCTTTACATTTTTGTCCTTTTTCCTTTGATTTTGGGTCATT